TCATGTACTTTACAGTGAATCTGAAGTTGTTCATCTCTCTTCCACTGAATGGGAAGTAATCTCAAACTACTTCATGTTGGCAAAAAATGGGGGTATGCACATAGATTGGTCCTGTGAAACTGTTCACATCCAACCTACCTCATGCTATATTGCTCCTGAGCTCAGTATCTAATCTTTAGGGTCACCAGTTTTGCATATATGTGGAATTAAGCTATGCTACTCAGTTTGTCTGAAATGAAAACGTATCAGAGATTCTGCAAATAAATAAGTAGGCAGAAATTAAAACAGGATTAAAAAATGCACGGTAAAGTGATCCTAACATAAATTGAAGTCTTTTGAATCACCACTTCTGGAACAAGAAGGGAACTCTAATCTCCTTTCACTAGCCAAAGGCATTTTCTCTTTGGCAGCAGGCTCTGATTTCTTGTCATATGAGGATAGTGTGCAAATCTGGCACCATCTACTCAGTTATTATTGATCACCAGAGTTCACTCTCATATACTCTCTTTATGTATGGATGTTGTTCTGCATAGCAGAGCATGCACTTCAGTTGCATTTTGCATTCTGTGTATTGAACTAGGTGTCTTTGGGAACATTCTTTAGTAATATATTTAAAGATGTTCCTTCTGCAGTCTTTCTAAAATAGAAGCAATTTATCATTGCAGACAAATATGTTTCTCAAAAATATTTTTTGTGTTTATGGGATATATTGGATAAAGTTTTGCAATACATTTATCTTTTTATTAAGAAATTACTTGAGAAGGAGGATGTGTTGAGAATGGGTAAGTCAGTAACTTTTCATGTACACTGAGCACTGCATGCAGAATTCAAGCGGGTGGATAAAACATTTGAACTGAAATGGAGTAAATACGGAATTGCATTTTGAATATAAACAACATATGCATATAAATTTGGAAACTCTAATATCAACAGCCTGAGGACAGTATTCCTTATATTTTCTTCAAGAGCTATGAACAGAAACCTAAGAACAAAGTAGGACTATATTCAGGTAATCTGAATTCCATCTGCATCTCTAATCATATCTGGGTTTCTTATTGTCCGGCCTGCAAGGCCATATGTGTAACAATAGCACTCAAGTTCTTTAGCACAATTTTGGCCATCTGAATTTGAACTAAGGGTACAGTATTTTTGACATTTGCTACCTGCAACATGTTCCACATCTTTGTCATGCTCTGTCTGTACTTTTGCTTGAGCCTGCTGCTTTTCTGCTGCTTAGTTTGCCCCTCTCTTTCATTTATTCTGCTCTGACCCCTACCAGTTACCTGTGTGAGCTTCTGCCATGCCTTCTGCCACCTGTGGGATTGCCATCTTGTCTTTACTTATACAAGTAGCTAAATGGAAAGTTTGTATTATAATTAGAAAACAAGATTTCAAAACAGCTTTCAGGACTCGCCGTAACTAGCTGAGAGGTGCCTGGGAATAAAAGAAATTCTGGCAACTGAAAAGCGTGTCGCATTTAACAGCAAGTAATTTCCAATGTATCATAGGCAAATGTGTAATCAGAATGAACAGGAAGAAATGTCCATACTATAAGCACTTCAAAATATTGGTGTGTACAGTTTGCATTATATTGACAACCTGTCAGACATCTTTTTGGCAGGATACTGTAGAATACACTAAGGGAGGGAAATACAGTAGAATTTCCCACCTTTCTATACCTAGAATGGCTTTCTTTGTAAAGCACACTGGAGTTTGGTACTGGGCATAACCCACACGATGCCGACAGCAGGGGGCTGCAAGCAGGGCTGGCGTGAAAGAACTGCCCAAGCAGGGACCGAGCAGAGGACTCAGGGGGATTACATCTCTGGCCGGACTGTGGCCAGTGAAGGACCCCATGCCAGAGCAGTGGAGGAAGAAACAAGGAGCCACCAAAGAAGAGGAACCACAACATGCTGACCCCAATCTCCCGCGCTGCCCACTGCAGGCGTAGTGTGCGGGCGGCAAGGGGATTGGAAATGGGAAAGGGGAGGAGCGGTGTCTAGAGAGGAGTCCAAGTGTAGTTCTCTAAGTGTTTGTTTGTTTGCCTGTTTCTATTTTTCGGTAGCAGAATCAGTAATTAAAAGTTTGTTAGTTGGCCAATAAATTAAGTAAAATTCCCTGACGTGAAATTTGTTTTATAGCTAGTGACAGACTTTACAAATCACAGTGTTTGTGGCTATTCTTAAAACATTTGGTACAGTTCTTAAAATTAGACTTGCTGAAGTCTGACAAATCAAACAGCCTTCTCCAGTGAGGTGGCTAGCTTGGTGGGTGAGGAGTGAGCGGTGGATGTCATTTACCTCTGTTTTAGTAAGGCTTTTGACACTGTCTCCCATGGCATCCTCATAGACAAAGTATGGGTTAGGTAAGTAGGCAGTGAGGTGGATTTAAAACTGGCTGAGTAGCCAGGCCCGGAGAGTTGTGATCAGCAGCACAAAGTCCAGCTGGAGGCAATTCACTAGTGGTGTACCCCACGGATTAACAGTGGGTGCAGTCCTGTTCAAGTCTTCATTAATGACTTGGACAGTGGGACAGAGCACGCCCTCCGTAAGTTCACAGATGATACAAAACTGGGAGGCGGGGATGATACACCATATTAAAAATGCTTATTATTAAATACCACAAAATATTTCTTTTTGAAGCAAGATACTACTTTTAAGTGTGCATCATTGTCCAGAATTGCTTCTTTACCCGAATTCTGAGAGCTTCTCCTACCTCTGCTGCCACAGCTTTCCTCTGCTACCATAGCTACCATAGTTCCACCAAACTTCTGTTTGGGAGCAGCTCATTGCAAACATTTCTTAAGAAATGTATTAATATAGAACTACCCAATAAGAATTACTTGGAGCTGAGTAATTCCATGTCATATCCTTCTGTCAGTGACTTTACTTCTTAGAGAAGGAATGAAAAGTGTGCTGCTGGCCAAGTTAATTATCCTACTTTTCCTGAATTTACTGTGTCAAAGGTCTTTTGGTTTCTTAACTCAACAAGGAAGAAAATGTATGTAGGTTTGTTTTATTATTATCCTCCTGACCTTCTTCTGACATTGCCTGGAGATTATTTACATGCAGGGAAGGATAGATACCTTCAAGGCTTTGTGCTTTTTTATTTTATGCAAGTCAGCTAGATACAAAAATGTGTTACTTCCTTGATTCTACCATCACCAGCAAACTCTCATGGGTCAGTGAATAGAAAGCAAAACCAAAGATCATGCTTCCTAGTAGTGGAACAAGTGCAATAAATAGTTGTTAAACCATCCTGCAAAGATATTATGAACTTCAAATCCATCCTTTTTTTGATTTTTTTATCATCTTTTTAATTTTGTCTGGCAGGACAGGCAAACAGAAATTTATTTTCATAGAACTATAATGAATATAACATTTTATACCTTGTAAGTCTCTTTCCTTATACGTCTCCTTCCATTCTTTTTCACTAAGCATGAGAGTCAATTCCTCTCATCTAATCTCGCTTAGCAATTTAAAAGATATGCGTCTAATGTAAATTTGTTGCCCAGGTTCCCCTCACAGTCATTGCAGCAAGACAGGCACTAAAAGAAAGTAGTATACTTTGTAGCAGGATAGGTTATTTTGCTGTATAGGATATGGTCTATTAGTATATCTGAGGTGTTTGAGATAGCTGAGGTGAGTCATTCTTTGAAGCCTGTCTGTCCCCTCATCACTACGATGGGAATCCAGGAGATCACTTTAGACTAGCAGTCCAGCTTCAACACCTTAAGTTTGATGACATGAAGCCCACATGAATTTTCTAGTTTTTCATGTCATATTTCACTCTGAGCCAGGAGCTGAGCCCATTACGAGTTTTTCTTTGATACAGTACTTACAGACTAAGCTCCTGAAAGAAGCAGTCATACTTTCTATTAATAATTCCTTATTACAGTTGACCTCTGCTGCTGTGGTTTTAAGAAAGGCTGGCCTTGATACCCCTCATTTTTATTAGCTAAACTTTTTATCATACAAGTTGGTAAGAAAAGTAATTAAATTTAACAGAGTTCACTCTTATTTCGTAATTCCTTGCAGTTAAAAGCCATAGAGAGAATACTTGAAATGAATTAAAGTTATGGCCTCTTAAAGAAGATACATGACATTTCACTACAATGTAAACTTTTATGTCCACCAGACATTTATAATATTTTCAAGGATGAGAGCTTTCTTATTAAAAAAAAAAAAAAAAAAATTGCCCTGCATAGTGCAAATTCTTACACTAACAATATTTAATATAGAAAATACAAGTTTTCTTACTGTGCTGGTGGTTTCTTTTCAAGCTTCTCATGAATCTATTTCCATCCCCCCCTCCCACTCCTAATGGCTTCTTTTAGTTGTCTGTCCTTTATACTGAATTTTGAATGAAACTTATAGAAATGTCAGGTTGGCTCCTTTAGGGACTACAGTTGAAATCATCAAGCTCACTTTCATTGTCTCCAGTTGGTGACAAATGGCAATTTTATTTAGCAAGGGAGGGTTCTCTTTGAGGTTGGATTGATGGATGAGGCCATAAGAGGTTGGGCCAGCTGACAAGGTTACCCCTACCAGCTGTCTACCCATCCCTACTGCATGAGGGTCTGTGCTGCTTGTCAGTCAGCTTTTGAACCACTGCTGTTTACTGTGTAGTGTTTTAAAGCAGACTGTGATTGGTGACAGCTTACTTTACTTGAAAATGCTGTGCTGAAAATGGCGGTGGTTCCAAAACTCACTGATGAGCAGCTCAGACATCTGTGCAGTAAAGGCAGGCTGGACAGCTAGGGTGGCAACAGTGTCAGCTGTCCCAAGCAAAGCCAGCCCTTTCTGACATTCAAGTGTCCTTTATTTTGTCTTTGCTTTTTTGTGTGTTTTGGTTTGGTTTGTTTTGTTTCAGGTTATAATCAGCCTGCTGTCTAAGAACCTCAGCTTTGAAATGTTTTTGAATGGGAACGTGTAAGAACCCCAGTAGTGTTTTGAGATTTCACTGCAAAATCCTAAAATGTTTTTAATTCTTGTCTGTAGGCTGGAGCAAATGTGCTGCTGCAAGACGTTAATGGAAACATTGCACTTGATTATGCCATAGAAGGGACTGAATCTAGCAGCATCCTTCTGATGTACTTGGAAGAAAATGGTAAGTCAGCTCTTCAGCTTCTGGAATATTTTTATTGAACATGACATAAAACCGAAAAGGATGGATATTGGTTTGACGTAAGTCAGCACTGAAGCCAGTGGAACTATATTAGTTTGGAGATAAAGGGGAGGAAGATGATTTGGAGTCACAAAAGTTTTCAGTGCGTTTAGATTGGAACAACTAACAAAGGTTAGTGGCAGTGGCCATTGTCAGATCTGCCTTTGCCCATTCATATGGAGATGCTAGAATGAGAATTCAAAGCAGAAAAACTGCAGTAACGGAGAAGCTTTTAAAACAACTAATTTAACAGTGTGAGGACCAGGTTTCACATTTTGTTTCATTTCACATGTGAGTTATGTATAGCCTCAGAGTATATTTTTTCCAGTGACTGACTGTTAAATAAATAAATCTCTGCAAATCATCTGAATGGAAATGTATATGAAATGTTATCACTTATTCAAAATATTAGTATTGGTTTTGTTTTGTATTGAGAAAATACAGTAGCTAGATTTCTATTATGAAGTATGCTTAATATGTTATAGATGACAGGACCTGTATTGAAGAAAAGGGTTTGTTATTCACCAGTTCCAAACTTAGATAAGGGTTCTGAAGTGAGATTTCTAGCAATGCTTTTGATTGTAATAGGTTGCCTTAACATTGGATGTGGCTCATCATAACACTGAGGAAAATGTATTAAGTAGAAATAATGAGCAGTAATGTAAAAATGTGTACTTTCAACATTGCCTCCATACAAGAAATCTGTTTTAACATAAACTAAGTTAAGTTATATCCTGTTAATGAACAAATAAAAGAGAAGTTAACTTAGACTGGCAAGGAAATCACACTCAGTGTCAGGTCCTATACTGTTAGCCCATAGCACATTCAGTGTATTACACAGATGTATTTCATAATTTTGCTTCCCTGATGCCTGGCAATGTCTTCCCAGCTCAGGAACTCTGGTTTTGGATTTTTCTAATGGCAAGACAAGTATTAGCTTCTAAAAACTTGATTGCCTTGCAAAATGCAGATATTTGGAGTCTAAATGCTCCAAATACTTTGGCTGATGTGGTATTTAACATGTAGTGTACAACAAGCATGTAGCATACAACAAGATGTAGTCTGCTTACTTGCAACTATCAATGCAGATCTATCAGAAGATGCTTCTTCTTTCCTTGGTTTATCTCTCTTTTTGTTTGGTTGCAAAATGAAATAGATGGGGGAAAAAAAAAAAGAAAAGAAAAAGATTTACTAGTTTCTTGGCAAAGTGTCTACATTGAAGGAACTTACATGGAATAGCGGATTTTTATGACTCTAATGTTATCAGTGTTAGCTCTTTTCCAGTAGATAGGAGGGGCACCGTTCCTCATTAAACAATGATTCTGTGAATGTGGGAAGTTTCCAAGGAAAAAAAACTAAACACGATGAAGGTGAGATCTACCTTCACTAACTTTAGAGAGCTAAGCCTGAGCTAATCATCCAGACCTTTTCTTTTGGTCAATAGTGAGAAATAGGAAATGCATGTATCGTTTCAGCTCTTCCTAACCTGGCTAGGTGAGGAGAACTGACTTCCAGGACTGTTTCTTTCTGCTGACTAATAAGAACTGAAGTTGACAAGTAGTAGTTTATCAGTCTTAGTTTTAGACTGTTAGGGTAGATCAATCCTACCCCTTAATTGCAGTACTGCGTGAAATCCTGGCCTTTGGGTGATCGATGACAAAATGCCAATCAACTTTGCTTGGTCTGTTACTATTCTTCTTGTAACAATAGGCAGCTCGAAGTACCCTTACTTAGCACTTAGTTTTAAAAATTTAATTAGTATCTTCTGAAATATTTGTATAGCCTACCATGGTTAATAGTAATGGAGGAGAGAATCCTTGAAGGAAATAAAGTTGTCTGCATATGCATACCCCAACACAGAGCAATGACATGGCTAAAAATCTTGTTCTACAAGAGCATTAGCTGATCGTATAGTAAATACCATCTTCAGCCTGTAGTGTTGTGAAACACCCACCTATAGTCTCACCCTTTAAATACAATGTGTAAGACACATTTCCCCATTCTCTGTGCTTCCCTGCATAACTAAAAGGTTCCCTCAATATTCTCCATTCAGTTGTACAGCCTGGCTTACAACGTTAAGAGATTGCTGTGTGAAATAGACTAGACTCTAATCATTGGCTCTAAGTGCAGAGTTCACAGAGAAAAATAAAATCAAGTGCCTTATGGCTCAGCTAAAAGAAAGCAAGAAGCTATCGATTTACTTTGATGAAACAAAGTAAGATTGGAACAAGTAGCTTTGATGCTACAGAAAACTTTGTTAATTGGGGACATTAAAGTTCTTAGAAGTCTGTGTTTATAATTTCTTATAGATTTCATCACTGTGGTAGTTCACTGTATCTGTTTAACTGCACTACAGACCTTAGTGAGTGAACTCCCTCTTCATTGTCGAAGATAACCTAATTTACTCTGTGGAAGGCCTGGAGCCATAGGTGATAACAATAGCCTTAGATGCATTTAATGATTTATATATTTAAAAATATTTTTACTTATTTACTGAAGTCAGTTATTTGAGTTCTGTTTGTAAATGATCTTAGGGCACAGGAGTATCACAAGTGTAAAGTAAAGTTAATCCTCTAGCAACTGCCTGAGAGAGTTCATATATACTTTATTGTTGTTATGGAATATAGCTTATCAGGAGTGGAGATTATACTACTGAAGTCTACATGAAATTCTGTGTATTTCATTAAAATATTCTCTTTTCCTGTACAGAAATGAGCTTTCTCTGATGTTACATTATGTTATGTAACTGATGTTACACTGTATACTGAAACTAATTATTGACTGAAGAAAGTAATAAGCAGACTTTACTTACCTAAGAGAAAACAAGTTGAGGTACATATCCTCTGTATATTAAGAGCATTCTTTGTGTTGGGTAATAATTCTAGTATACTATAAGCTTCATTTAAGATATGCCTAATCAAGGATGGAAGGGAAAATACAGCATCCAATTTCATATTTAGGAAAGTGGTGGAAATAGCTTAACTGTATGATATTTGATCATGTCCTAGGAGCACTCAGAAGCCTAGTGTGCTCCTGAGCTCCAGGACTTTATTGGGGTTGATTTACCTAAATCAAGTGTCTGGTAGTCACTCTAGCCTTCATTTAAGATATGCCTAATCAAGGATGGAAGGGAAAATACAGCATCCAATTTCATATTTAGGAAAGTGGTGGAAATAGCTTAACTGTATGATATTTGATCATGTCCTAGGAGCACTCAGAAGCCTAGTGTGCTCCTGAGCTCCAGGACTTTATTGGGGTTGATTTACCTAAATCAAGTGTCTGGTAGTCACTCTATAGCAAACCCTCCTTAGAGCAAAAGAGATGCTCCAAAGGTAGGTATCTGTAATGTGTCATCTGAATTACGATCTGAACTGCATGCTTCTTTCCAAGTGCTATGAAGGGAGCCCAGAATGGCTAGCTGAGACATAGAAGTCTGCTACATAGGGTGGGATTCAGTTTAAGGTCATGATATTTACATTTACAGGTCCATATGTAGGTGCGTATACAGTAGCTTTGGTGTCTAAATTCCTATTACCATCAGTGGAGTTCTAGGAAATAGTGTCACTAGAGAGCAGAAGGGTTATTCATTTGACCAGCCACTAGGAAAACACTGGTAAACACTGTTAAATTTGTTCTGCACCAAGATATCATTGGCTTTGCATGTTACTGGTGGTCTTGTTTTGCTATGAAAAGAAAGTTATGACTTTTAAGGACTTTGAAAAATAAGATGGGGAGACCACTTGCTGCAATGTCCTGCCAGGGCAAAGCCAACTGAGAGTAGCCCAAGTTACCCAGGGCCATGCTGGGTTGGAGAGTCTACGATCTCTCTGGGCTCCCATTCCAGTGCTGAGCCATTTTCATATCATTTTTTTTCTTATTCAGTTAAAATTTGCCTTGTTGCAACTTACACCTGTAGCCTCTTGTCCTTTCATTGTTTACCTCCAGGAACTGTCTCCATCCAGAGGTGAAATGAAAATATTAGGAAGTGTAAAAAGGGGTTTTTTTCACTATTTGTACTGTTTTATTCTGAACCTGGCTGATTATTGGAATCATCGAGAAAGTCCACCTGGCACCTTCCGTAAGCTTTATTTAGATTAATAGCAGCTTTATGTTTTAAGGCAAAGCTTTTATTGTATTAATGCCATTTTAAAAATAGTTTAAATGACTGATAGTGTGTTCTCTTTGTTTTTAGAGGTAGAATGTTCTACTGTAGAAGTGTGTCAGTGAAACTCTGATTACGGCATATGATCCTTATGTTTCCTCCTTTTCCTTTAGGCAGAAATTAAATATTTAATGCTTTGAAGAATGTACCATTTTTGTTTACTTCCTTTCTTGGTATTTAGTTGCCTAGTGGATTAAACGACTCAGATATAAACTACAAATGAGTGACAGATATTTCTTGGTTCCGTATTTGACAAGTGACAGGAGGTGACACATTCACTGTGTAATTTGTTTCCAAAAAAGAGGTGATGCCTTTTGTCCTCCAAGATCTCAGGCTTCAGCTTTCAGTAGGATAACTGTGCATTTCAAGAACATCAGCCTTGTTATTTAATCCGAGAAAACAGTATCTGGATATTTACTACTACCTTTATTTTTTAAGAGCTGTCTAAGTATCATAGAATCATAGAATCATTGAGGTTGGAAAAGACCTCTAAGATCATCGAGTCCAACTGTCAACCGAACACCACCATGCCCACTAAACCATGTCCCTAAGCGCCTCATCTACACGTCTTTTAAATACCTCCAGGGATGGGGACTCCACCACTTCCCCTTCAGCTTTCAGTAGGATAACTGTGCATTTCAAGAACATCAGCCTTGTTATTTAATCCGAGAAAACAGTATCTGGATATTTACTACTACCTTTTTTTTTTTTAAGAGCTGTCTAAGTATCCTACACATCTGAAAGCAAAATAATATCTTTCTTGTCTATTGTATAGTGAGAG